CCTCAGCATCCCCCAGGAGCAGGGCCTCAGCATCCCCCCCCAGGAGCAGGACCTCAGCATCCCCCAGGAGCAGGACCTCAGCATCCCCCAGGAGCAGGGCCTCAGCATCCCCGCCAGGAGAGGGTCTGGGTGGCCCCTTCCCCTCTGCCTCCTCCCTCTCAGCAAGACCTCTTGGGACCCCTACCACGCTCTAAAGGTGAAACACCTTAAATCATTCTGGTTATTCCAGCCTTTAAAAATGATCATGTTTCATGATTTACATGCAGAGACCCAAGCCCACCACAGAAACCGCTCTCCCTTTACCCACATCCTCACCCAAAGGGAGCTGGAGCAGGAGGCGGGAGGCTGAGTGCAGGAAATACAGAAGGGAAAGCGTAACACGCAACAATGCCAATGCCTATATGCACCTAGTCTCCACAAAGAAGCCACTGTGTCTCTGAGGGTGGGAGTATGTTTGTGCATGCGCGTGTGCGCGTGTACACACACACACACCACTACCAACTCCTAGAAAGCAGCAGTTTTCCCACTCCTCAGTTTAAAAACACTACGTAATCTAATAATCGAAGCTGTAATTGGACAAACTCGATAACCAGTTTGTGTTTCAGCTGAGGCCTTGCAATGGCGCCCAGGCTGGTCTCAAGCGTGAGACCCCTCCTCTGACTCCGAGGGGCCCGGCATGCCCTGGCAGGACTGTCGTGCTTTTACTACAGGAGCACCTCCCAGGTGGCATCTGCCCAGGACAGTCAGAAGACAGATGGCTGCCGTGAAAAATGAGAATGGCAGTGTGCAGAATTACAGCAAAACCTTAATGTTTCACTTTTGTTTTAGACCGGACGAGGGACCCATTTTAATCTATACGATTTCCCTTTTAACAGTGACCCCTGGAATTGTGAATGAAATGGTCACTAGAAATAAGTGTTTTCAACTTAAGACAGGCTCCCACTGAGCAGCTATTGCTATTCTTCTTTGGTGATAAACACACAACCAAGCAAGAATTCAGAGCTGACCCTGAAATACTGGCTGGGGTAACAGGAGACAGAGAATGTGCACTTCCAAATGGCAGACCCACCTTGTGATGGGCCAGCTGGCTCTTTATTCTGTCTGGATCATTTGCGATCTCCAGTTCCGAATCCAGAGACTTCTCTGACTCTTCCAGCCACTCCATGAGTTTAGTCCAAGCTTCATGGAACTGTGAAAGAAATGCACATTTCTATCTAGAAAAAAATTCAAACTATGTTTGAAATGCAGCTCATTTTTTGTTGTTGTTGTTGGTCATGGGGCTTGAACTCTGGGCCTGGGCGCTGTCCCTCAGCTCTTCATCTCAAGGCCAGCACTCTACCGCTTGAGCCACAGCACCACTTCTGGTTTTCTAGTGATTTATTGGAGATAAGAGTCTCACGGACTTTCCTGCCTGGGCTGGCTTTGAACCGCAATCCTCAGATCTCAGCCTCCTAAGTAGCTAGGATGACAGGCGTGAGCCCCCGGCACCCCGGCTCAGCTTATTTTGTAAATACAGTTTTATCATCCTTAAGTAGTTGTACAAAGGAGCTGCCATCCAACAGTGTGAGAATGCAGTGGGTCTTGACCAACGTCGCCCTCTACTCATTCCCACTGATCCCTCTCCTACCCACCCCCACATCCCTCACTTCCCTTATTTTCGTAGGACATGCATAGCATTCTCCCCAAATAGCATAGTTTAAACAGAAATGGACATGGATATACCAAAAATTCTTAATTCCAAGTTTTCCTGGCATGAAAAAAATCAATGCTTTTGTGAGCAAGTTACAGAACATCTTGACAGTGCTTGACAGAGGTGTGGTGTCCCGGCACTGTGCTCCCCATTCAATACAGACAGGGGCAAGCTCCAGGGTGTGGTGTCCCTCCCTTCCTTTCTTTTCACAGGGAAAATATTTTTGGTTTTAGAAATTTTAACAGCTTTTTGCTTGTTTGTTGTTGTTCTGGTCTACTCTGTCTCATTGGTAAATCTGGGTTTACTTATAAGGAGTTTAACTCCTTTGTTTTAAGAAAAAAAGGAATGCAAAGGCTGGGAGAATGAGTTCATAAATTGCTTTTAAATGCTGTGCTGGTGCTGAGCTTGAACTCAAGGCCTGGGTGCTACCCTCAGCTTCTCACTTAAGACTACAACTCTACCACTGAGTTAAAGCTCCATATTTTTTTTGGTGGTTAACTGGAGATAAGTCTGATAAACTTTCCTGTCCAGGCTGGCTTGGAACTATGATTCTCAGGTCTTAGACTTTGGAGTAGTGAAGACTACAGGCATGAGCCACACCAGTGCCTGGCATAAACTTTTGTTTTTTTCCCCCAAGTGCTATTTTATCTTTACAAAGAGCCCAACCTCCTTACTGTTGTTATCCAAACTGTCAAATTAACTACGTCTCACATACTGATTTTATACACACAAGAAAATTGCAATTCTCTTTGCTACCTTGAACGTGCCAAGTATTTTTGATCAATGTCTGTTTGATTTTAATCATTGTCTCTCTTCTGCTTACCTTACACAAGAATTTGTGGGCACTAACTTTGGATACCTATCTGTGGTATCCAAATATTGATACCAACAATAAGTTACTTGTTAATTTGCTAGTTAATAATTAACTTAAATGACGTGATATCTAACAAAAGCTGAAACAATGCATGTGAAATTCAAGTCTCACGAACAACACAGGCCTGGCAGGGCCTGCAGCGGGGCGTGGCTCTGCCGTGGCTTGGTACCCTGTGGCACCCTGTCCCCAGAGGCTACCTCCTGTGCACCTGCTCGCTGCCCTCCTGCAGCACAAATCAACCTCACATAAAACAATCCGCGAAGCCAGAACAGACCCAGAAGGTGCCAAAGACGGAGCACTATGACGACTGACATCTGAGCCCAGAACCGAGCAAGAACAAGGAGAGGAGGGAAAGAGACAGCTAGCTAAGGCACTAGAAATCCCGACTGCAAGTCATAGCTCTGGCAGCCAGTAATCAGATGGAAAGCACAGCCACACAGGTCCTAATGCTGCTCCCATGCCCACAGCCACTCTGAACCCACAAAAAGAGACAATCCTATCTAGTTGTGTGAAAACAGTGAGAAACAGTCATAGAGATATTCAATGAGACAATAAAACTAAGCGGAGAAAGGAGGAAACTGGTGATCAGCTGGCCGCTGCTGTTCAAGAAACCTCTGCAAATGGGGGATGCGTGAACTACAGGCCGCACCACACCACGGTGTGGAGAGGGAGCCGTCACGCTCAACACTGGTGCTGCCACAGGGTCACCGTCAGGCAGTGTGAGCCATGGGGTCACCAGGGACCCCACAGGCGGAAGGCAGGCCTCTGGGCCTGTGCTGATAATTCTGTAGAGCTAAGAAACACTATTGTAAATATACAAAAGGAATACTCTCCACTCCCAAGAAAGCAGCCAGGGATCGAAGCTGCGCCAGAGGCCCCCTGAGACACTGACCCCTGTTCTCCACTCGAGATCTGTGGCGCCAAGCCATGAGGACTCGACCTGGCAGTGCCAAGGTCTCTGCCACCACGCGGTGAGCTGTCGACCCTGGAACACTGCCTCACTCACGTGAGCCTGGAGCCCCACACTAAAGGCCACAGAACCAGCATCAGAGAGAAGCAGCCCCCGAGTGTGCCACTGGACCCAGCCCACAACCACGTGTCCCGCTGGATCCAGCCTGCACATACTCTGTAGCCAGACGCTGTATAATGCCACGTCAGAGAGCCGTGGGTAAGGGTGGATTACCTGCTTGGCCCGCTTCCTCGCCTCGTCCAGGGACCGTCCCCTCTCCACTAACCGCTGGACCACATTCTCCCACCGGCTCTGCACGCTGATCAGAAGGTTCTTGATGAGGACAACATCTTGTTTCTGACTAAAGTATTTCAGGTGCGTTCCAGTTTTGTCCAGTTCTACGATCTGCTCCCGGTGAGAATTTACTTCATTGGCAAAGACCTTTCCCAGGAAAAAGAGGCCATAATTAAAAACAAGGGGAAGACAGTCGGTTCTTAAAAACGTTTCTGGTATAATACAGACCACATGTTGTTTTCAAGGACAAACCACCCAGCTCCTGTGGGGTCCTATGAGCTGCCACACACCTTGTGCTCATCAATCTGAAACAAGACTGTGTCGAGGATAAGGCTTGGCCGAGAAGCCAGGTTTAGAGTCTGCTCGGCCTGGGTGAGCCAGTTGATGAAGTCCTGCAGGGAGGTATGGAACTCCACGGCCACGCTGAGTGCCTCTTCCAGCTTAGTCTGTGAAGACAGGTTGGGCAGCAGTGAGTCAGGGAGCCCACGGGGCAGTTACTGGTTGTCCCTGAGGGACCTCTCTTTCTGGAAGATTCCTAGCCCAACACTGCACACACAGCACTGCCCCAGCCAGTTCATCACTGCAATGCCTGCACAGAAATACACGCTGTACCTACAAGGGAAAAATCAAACTCCTCTGAGGAAGTACTTGGCTACTGCTAAAAATACTTACATATGCTAAGCTGTGTTTTTATCCAATTAACAACAGAACCTGAAAAGGGAAATATTGACATTTGTCCATTGATAGCTGGGGGTCGCAATCCCTCTATCAGAGATGGCGTTTAATCTCTTAGCTCTAGCCTGTTTTTCCCTTAGAGCACGAAACAGAATGAGGTCTGAAGACTGCTACTGCGGTTTCAAAAGAAGTGATGAAAATCGTCATTGCTCAGAAATCAAATCTCTTTTCTATTTCTATGTGAGTGCTTATAAAATAACTAACACAGACACCTCACTCTCAATCTCCTCCTCCTGGACTTACTCAGGGTGGTTAGAAAAGAATTACTTAACAACATAGGACCTGAGTGGTCCATGATATTTAAAAGCATACCAAGTAACAACTGATCTGTGGGTCACCTTTATCTATGTTGAACAGACTGCGCTCGCTCTCTTGTGTCAGAAATCGCCATGGGCAGAGCACACAACCCAGGCATTTAGGTGTGAGGCATGCACACTAATACTCCTGGTAGCTCACTGACACAAGGGAGAAAGCAGGAATGGCACAAAAGCAGTACAGGTCCTGTCACACCAGCCGGAGCACACACATGGGTCCTGACACACTCGTGGAGCACACTCAGGGGTCCTGTCACACTCCTGGAGCACACGCACAGGTCCTGTCACCCTCTTGGAGCACACACATGGGTCCTGCCACACCAGCCGGAGCACGCTCACAGGTCCTGCCACACCAGCCGGAGCACACACACAGGTCCTGTCACACCAGCCAGAGCACACACACAGGTCCTGTCACAACAGCCGGAGCACACACACACGGGTCCTGTCACACTCCTGGAGCACACGCACAGGTCCTGCCACACCAGCTGGAGCACACTCAGGGGTCCTGTCACACTCTTGGAGCACACTAAGGGGTCCTGTCACACTCTTGGAGCACACTCAGGGGTCCTGTCACCCTCTTGGAGCACACTCAGGGGTCCTGTCACACCAGCCGGAGCACACACACAGGTCCTGTCACACCAGCTGGAGCACACACACAGGTCCTGCCACACCAGCCGGAGCACACTAAGGGGTCCTGTCACACTCCTGGAGCACACGCACGGGTCCTGCCACACCAGCCGGAGCACACTCAGGGGTCCTGTCACACTCTTGGAGCACACTCAGGGGTCCTGTCACCCTCTTGGAGCACACTCAGGGGTCCTGACACACTCTTGGAGCACACGCGCGGGTCCTGACACACTCTTGGAGCACACTCAGGGGTCCTGTCACACTCTTGGAGCACACTCAGGGGTCCTGACACACTCTTGGAGCACACTCAGGGGTCCTGACACACTCTTGGAGCACACGCACGGGTCCTGACACACTCTTGGAGCACACGCACGGGTCCTGACACACTCTTGGAGCACACTCAGGGGTCCTGACACACTCTTGGAGCACACTCAGGGGTCCTGACACACTCTTGGAGCACACTCAGGGGTCCTGACACACTCTTGGAGCACACTCAGGCGTCCTGACACACTCTTGGAGCACACTCAGGGGTCCTGACACACTCTTGGAGCACACGCACGGGTTCTGACACACTCTTGGAGCACACGCACAGGTCCTGACACACTCTTGGAGCACACGCACAGGTCCTGACACACTCTTGGAGCACACGCACAGGTCCTGACACACTCTTGGAGCACATACTTTCCTCTCCTTGAGCTTGGTCTCCACTGACTCCCACTTCTCTTTCAGGTGAGTTAAGTCTTGGTTGATGTTGGTCTCCGCAGAGTCTGTGAGCATCTGCTGGCCCCTCTGCATCAGACTCCTGTACGTTTCTTCTTTGGCAGCAAAGGCAGTACAGATGTCCTAAGGAGACATTGGAAGACTTAAAAGAGTTCCATTTTTCTAGGGAATCTGTCCCAAACCCCATACCACATTTTCATCTTCCGACCTGCAGAGCAGTTCTAGCACACAGATGCAGCACTTTCCATTACAATGAGTTATCTAGTGATAACCCAACCACTGAAAGCCTCAGAAACCGCTATTGCTATCAGTGATTCTGCCTGCTAAGTTCTGAAGCAAGTTTACTTATGCACTGTCAAGAAAGGTGGCAGGCTGAAGAGTGGCTATGCAGTTCTGTGACCTTGAACAAGGTATTTGACCTTTCTGACCTTCTGTAAACAGAAGGACTCTTACATCCCCCTGTGCAACCATGGCCTCTGTGGTCTAATTCCATCCTGTTCTTAGAGCACATGCGATGGACAGAAGGCAGAGGGCCCATCCAGCAAGAGGCTCAGGTTGTCATCCAGCCGCTCAAGGTAGAAGAGCCACAGGGTGGTGCTGCCCACGCCCAGCCAGAACCCTTCTGGAAGGCACGCGTGTGCATCTCCTACAGAACCTGAGAGAAATCTGCTGAAGTCCAGAACTAAGACCAGGGAAACAACTTCACGGAGACCAGTTTGGTCACTGGTTCAACTATAATGTGGTCAGAGAATCATGGTTCCTATGTCCTCTATGACACTCAAATTTTCAGCTTTAAAATGTGATTTTTGTTTATTTTGGTCTCACTGTAAGTAGTATAGTCTGGCCTCAAACTCGAAATGCTCTTGCCTCAGCTGCCAAAGTGCTGAGATTATAGGCATTCACACCATGCCTGGCCTGATGATTATGGTGATTTTTCTTCATCCTTCAAGGCTCAACAATTTGTAACTTCCACAGTGCTATATTACTACCAGGCAAACTTCATTGCTCTGTATGAGGGAGTTCCCGTCTCACAATGTCTAGACTTCTAAAACCCCTTTTTCCATGATCTCACATGTCTTAAAAACTTGAATCATTAAGTGATGTTGTTTACAGCACTTACCCAGTGATCCCTGCTGTCAAACGCATCTCTTAGTTGTGTGTTCTCTATCACGAGCTGTGCAGTGCCAGGGACTCCCTGAGGCCTGTCTGTTAGCTGGTGGCCCGCAGAGCAAGGAAAGTCATACGTACCGTGTGGGCATCCAGCTGTTCCTTGGCGGTTTCTGGTAAACCACCCAGAGGCTTGGATGCCAACAGGTGACGCTCCGTGTCAGCCAGCCACTGCTGCAAATCTTCAATTTCACCATGGAAACCTTTGGCCTGGAGTGATGGGAAATGTTACATTTGGGCCACAGAACACTGTCACTTTCACGCAGAAGACAAGCCTCACACGGGCCCCGCCTGCACAGCCAGGCTGGTGCGTCTGCCCTGCCTGCCCTCCCCACGTACCCCCCTCCCCCCCAGGAGCACTCGGAAATAAGAGCATTACACTAAGCACCAGAGACACTCCCTCCTCTCCTGCTTCATTCTTTATCCCACTTATTTTTATTCCTCCCTCCAGGTATAAAATTAAGTTGCCATCTGTGAACCTATAAATGAATCCCTGCTATTTGGGGTTTTGCACGCTATAGGAGCTTCTAGATTTAGTCAAAATTCACCTGGTGCAATGCACCATCCAACTGCTGTTTTCTTTGTTCTGTTTTTTCCAAAACACTCTGCCAGCGTTGATTTAAACCCTGTAGCTTGTGCTGGAGACTGCTTGCTTCTTCGCCTGCGCTGGATGCGATGAGCTCATTTCCTGCTTTGTTCACAGCCTCCACGGTGGACTGATGAGCGAATACATCATTCCGGAGCACCTGAAAACGTTCAGATAGTATCTTCACTTTTAGAGGACTGTGGGGCTGTGCAATATTCTGACACACACTTCTCACAAGTGCTCATATCGATTCTGAAGAAATGGCTCTAACTTGCAGCTCTGAGTGTGTCGGGAGCTGTGTCTTCCCATGAAGTGGCCGTGAGGAGCCGGCTGGTTGCCACCACCAGGCACTAAGCACCTAGACATAATTAAGAGTTCTACTATTTTTTTTTTAGTTGATTCCAGCTCATTTTCATTGACGTTAATTTTCCTTTCTAAAGTAACTAAGCGATCGTTTCACTCCCATGTATTCATTTTCAAATTAAAATTATCTCAAGTCTAAAACATACAAATTTTATAATTAGCTGTCTCAAAGGAAAAAAAATAAGCTTAAACATTTCCTTTTCTCTCAGTGGTGCCATGCCAAAATTAACTGCTAATTTCAAAGAAATCCCTCCCCAACACTAATAAGAGATCATTATAATCCTGCCTTACCCTCATTGACACAGAGTTGGCAATAGTTAAAAAAAAAAGACCCTTGATTGACCCCCTCACCCCCGGGAGGGCAGTCTGGTCTGCACAGGGAGGACTTCAGGGAATTGGGGCCACCCAGGAGCACTGCTCCTCTGACAGCGCTGACTCACTTTCCACACCATCTGGTTAAACCAAGCTTTCTAAAGGCTTCATTCCCAGGGTGTAAAGAGATATCTTTATGGAAAACATACACTCCGAAATGTCTCTAGTAAAAACTGCTTTCTCAAGATGTAAGAGTTAACTATTCTCCTTATCCAACTTTAAAGGGCAATTCTATGTAATTCCTTCTAAATGGTCTTGAATGCCACTGGAAAGACAGAGCTCTGGAGTAGAAAAAGCACAGAATAGTTCCTTAGTTCCTTGGTTCCTTCCTTCCTTTCTTCCCTTCCTTCCTTCCTCCTTTCCCTTCCCTTCCTTCTTTCTTCCATTCCCTTCCCTTCTTCTTCTCCTCTCCTTCCTTCCTTCCTTTCCACAATTAAGTTGGAGACTCTAAATCCTCTAACTTTTAGCTTTCAAGAAATGGAAGGAAGGGCTGGGAAGGTGGCTCGGTGGTAGAGTGCTTGCCTTGCAAGCCGGAGGCCCTGGGTTCGATTCCTCAGCACCACATAAGCAAAAAGAAAAAAGCCGGAAGTGGCGCTGTGGCTTGAGTGGTAGAGCGCTAGCCTTGAGCTGAAGAGCCGAGGGACAGCGCCCAGGCCCAGAGTTCAAGCCCCACGACTGGACCCCAAAAAAAAAAAGAAATGGAAGGAAAAAAAGGAGCTATTCCAAGGGCTGAAAGGTAAGAGTTAAAAGCTCCCTACAGATCTCCAGGTTCAGGTGCCTCTTTCTGGCCATCTCTGCTGGTGTACCACACACATTTCTGATCACTGACGTAGGCTACTTTTCAGACAATTTCCAGGTTTATGAAAATGAAAGTGCACCTATAAACTCATACTACGAGACTATGCACACTTGGATTTTATGCAGAGCTAGCCTGGCCAGTCCTTGCTACTCTAAGCAAAGTCATAATGGAGACATTAAAATATGAGGAAGGTTTCTATGTCAACATTGTACAAAAGAAATGCAAATTTCTGAATCAGATACAGCCAGACAATGACTATTGATGTAGACTGGCCCAGGAGAAAAGAAAGAAAAATTAGCATTAAGGAACATTTACAGTGGAAAAAAAGAAAGAAAGAAGTTGAGCAAGAAAAGAGATTGCACATCATGGTCTTAAATGCCCAAAATTTAAATGTCCAATAGTTATCTCCTACCTGATTATCAAGAAAACTTACTTATGGCTAGGATTCAAGACTCTTAATATAAATGTTAAAGTCTATGAAAGATTGTGGGAACATCAGGATAACTACCATGCAAAAACATTCATGTGAGTCTGGCGACTTAAGGGTTGGGGGTGATTTACTAAAAACATCAACCAAAGGGTCACACAGGTGGCAGCAGGTAGAGTGGTGTGTGCTTCTCAACAAAGACTTTCAAGCTTTGAATTAAAGGCATGACAGACACATTTTAAGAATTTACATGTAATAAACAGTTCAAAACTGATTTAGAAAAGTGTGATATAAGTAGCCAGTCAAAAGTAAAGGCAACATTGAAACAGTAAAAAACACACAAAAAAACCCCACAAAAAACAAAAAAACACCTGTGCTAGGAGAGACAGACACAGAAGGAGCATGCCAAACAGGCTGGATGTGAGATGCATGACCACAGAAAGGCTGCGAACCATGGGGAAGCCACATTTTGAGCCCAGGACATTTAGGCTCTCCCCAACAACTTCAAATGGAGTCCAAGGTGACATGAATCCAAGGACAGAGATAACGGGACTTAAATCTTCAGTGTTTGCCTTTCAGCCCTATTAAAAATTTAGTCACTGATTTCCCTTGTGTATTGTGTTTGGTAAGTGCCCTGAACCATGAGAAAAATATTCTGATCATCATCTTGAAGGAAGTGTTTAAGTACTTTAAACTCTGACTATACATGCAGAGTTGAACATCTGTTAAGATCACCCATTTTACAGGAGAAAAATGAAGTAACAAGTTTGACAAGAAATGTACTTATTACCTTACTTATGTAAGTGAAACCCCTCTGTACATCACCTTAACAATAATAAAAAAAGAGATCATCAACTTGAAAACCCAGCTTGGTGGCCCCAGAAAAGCACAGGGAAGAAACACGAATGTGCCAGTGGCTACGTACATGGTGCTTGGCAAGCTCGATTTCAATGGCTTTCGGGTCCCCTCCAATGGGCTTCTGTTCACCGAGCAAGCCCTCGGTGTGTGTCAGCCAGGCCAGCAGCTCGTCCAGGGCATGCTGGAACTGACCCAGCGCGAGGAGGGCGCCCTCCAGCTTGTGCTGGAAGAGAGCAGAGTAGAGGGACCGTCACACATGAGGCACATCAGCAAAACAAGGGCAAAGAGCCATCGCTTCCTGCCGCCTAAGTGCCTAAGCCAGGCCCTGGGGCATGTAACCATCTCTCCACACTTTTTGTGTGATGTTCTCTGTGGTCACAACATGGCACAGACAGGGAGAGTTGTCCGGAAAAAAGAGAATCTGGGTGCTTCAGGAGTTTTGCTAACTCCTGACGTGACCTGAACAAGTGTGTGGCATGTCAGAGGTCTCTGCACTCACCTGTCTGCTGACAATCCTCTCATCCAGGCTGTCCCAGATCAGCTTCAGCTCAAGCAAGGGGTCCTGTACCGTGTGCTTGTCACTCTCTTCCGTCACTTTCTTCAGCAGAAGTTCTGCCTGATGGTTCAGCCTTTCCATTTCTATCTGTTGTTGGTAGGCCTCTGACTTAAATTGCTATTAAAAAATATACATATACAAGGACATTTTTAAAATCAGTATCATTAAGACAATACTGTTTAAGACAATAATATTTTAGTGTTTTATTCTAATTTGTGTTTCTTACTGGGGGAGGTCACAAGGAATAAAGAGCTAGCAAAGACTGAAAAAGGGGGGCGGGTACTTCCACTTCATGTGATGGAAAGATGTCTATGTAATTTTGGTATTTTGTTTTTGTTCTTTATAGTAAACCAACAAACCTTTTAGTTTAACTTATTCAAATGCCTTTATATTTTCAATAGTGTGCTTTGAAATTACAGGGAAGAAAACACAAACACCTATGAAACCCAAGAAACCAAGCTCAGTATTTCCATCACACACATACACACACACACACGTACGCACACACACGCACGCATGCACACTCATTCTGCATTCCTCCCTCCCCCCACAACCACACTGTTTTTCAGCTGTGTTACATTTTTCAGGACTTAGTTATTTCTATGCCTCACCCATGGCTGCCACTCTCCCTCTCCTGGTGCTTCTACATCTTGCCATAGTGTTTCTATCTTTACTTAGCCAACCAACAGGTTAGGAAGTGGCTGACTGTAATAGAAAACTGTCCTATCACAAATGATCATCATAAAATATTTATCTGAAGCTGCAATCATAAATAATTAATGGATAAGCAGCCTCTTATTATCTTTAAACATATGACAGCAATAATTAAAAAGTAATAAAGTATAATGAGCATTGGCTAAGTTCAAATTACTCTACCAACTTAAAAGAAGGTTTTCTCCAGTCAAGGACAAAGCACGGGTCGGGGCGGGGGGGTGAGATGACCTTCCTGAGGTGCCTCCTGAGGGAGGGGGGAAGGCCGAGTCAGAGCGAGCCTCCACGGCTCGGGCAGCGGGAGGCCTGCCCAGCCTGCCCAGCCTGCCCTTGAAGGCTGTGGGTGGAGAGGAGCATGGACACGGGAAACCCTGACGGTGCTGACCATCCGAAAGGCAAGGTAAAAGCAAGACAAAATAAAAACATCTTCCAGTCTAACTGTGGCAACGGCAAAGTTCTCAAAGAAAAATACATTTCTCAAGGAAATAGTCATACTTTGAGATGAAAATGCTGTTTTAGTATCCGATAGTGGTTTTATGTAAGAATCTAGGGGCATTCACTGACAAGAGGCCTCTGGGTGTGAAGCCCAAGGGAGGAGAGAGCTGAAGTCATGGCCCTAGATGGTCACTGGCTGGGCACTCAGAGCAGAATGCTAGCCGCAGGACGGAAAGGTCAGAGGCAACCCACAAATACTCACAACCAGGGAAGTTCTGCTGCTACACCACGCCAATCATGCAGCACACACACAGAAAATGAAAACGTTACTGAACACTACATAATAAGGCCAGTTAAACAGTGCCCATGGAATCATGAAATATGCTCACCCCTGCGTGCGCGCACACACACAGACACACACACGCTGCTCCCAACACCAGGTTATCTGACATCTGAGAGATGCGAAGACAGTCGGGCCTAAGAGGAGCTACATCTGGGTGTGTAATATCTGGATAATGGAAAAGTTGCTTTCCTCCTTTGTGCTTATTTAGATTTTCTGACTTTCCAATAATAACCAAGTATTAATTAATGCAAAGAAAACATTCAGTGTTTTGTTTTATTTAAAGAGCACATACTTTTCTATTGTTCATTCTAGGTAGGCAATGTATTAAACACAGTTCAAAATAAAAAATGTGAGATGCTTCAATTATGTAAAATAAATCAATTTATACAAGGAATTCTGTGACTGAACAACTAAAACAATGCAAGGAAGTCTTGGATAAATTACTTAGGCCCCAACATGTACCTTTAACTCTTCAATCTGCTGCTTGACAGTTTCGAGATCTGTTCCGATGGGAGACAGCGAAGCTAACTTCCCACCCGCAATATCTACCCAGTCAAAGACTGCCTGAAAGAAACATATAAAAGTACCAAAATATGTCACAAGTTATAAAAAAGGGCAATTATAAGGAAGGATGGCTATTTTACAAAAAATTAAGGTCTACCTAAACAAAAGCAATATAATGGAAGTTGTCCCAAATATGAAATAGCTAAAATAGCTATTGCTTTAACTCTACATCCATAAATATGCAAGATGAATTCTTTACTGAATATTATTAGACTATTAACCCCACACATAGAAGCAATATTGAGATCTCTATTCTGCTTTGCAACATAGACTTCACAGTCAGGGAAGAAAATTATCCTACAAAGGCTCAGGTTTTCAAGTTCTGAACATAAAACAGAATTACTCTGTACCTCAAAGCAATGGCCAGACCATTAGGGAGGGGTGGAAAGCATCTGGCGCATTCAGGTTACCTTAAACCTGCCTGGGAGCTGGATGGTAGCCCAGCAAATGATCAGACCAGCTGAGCACCTGGGGCCAGCTCCTGACAGCTGGTGGAACTGTTTCTCAACGGAGCACAGGTGACCAGCCACAATGGAGCAGCACGGCATGTGCCAGGCCCTGTGCCGACTCACGGTGGGCCATGGTGTCTGACCTGGGAGCATGTAAGGGCCGCTGTGAGGACCCACCCACAGCCCAGCCTCGCACACACCGGGGGCTCTGTTTTGCTTTGAACAAGAAGGAGGCTGTTACAATACGGAGTTTTTTCATGTTTCCAAAGTTCAGAACCCTTTTTCAGCTGACATCAAACCTGGCTGATAGTGAGAATACTGGTACAAATGCAGAAGGGAGGTGGCTGATGGTGTGTACTGGTGTGAATACACAAGTGAAATGGCTGGTACGAATGCAGAAGTCAAGTGGCTCAAAGAGGAGACAGCTGTGCTCATCTGAGCTTTGGAAGTATTTGCTTAGTGTTCTGAAGGAGGGTGCTGGCTGGTAGGAAACGGAACAAAGTTAGGGAATGTTGAAAAAGAAATAGCAGCTGTTTGCCTTAGCCAACAGAGGAGCTGTTGATATTAACAGTGCCAACTTCCACAGGGTTAATGAGCCGAGAACCTTCAGGGATGGAGAAACAGCTGTTCAACTGAATGCCACAGGTGGAGAAGACACTGCACAGCACAGTGGCCCGAGGAGCCACGTCTGCTTTGGTGCACGGGGCTCACTGGTGTCAGCCAACTCTCTGGCTTCTGTTGACCGGTTGGTATTTTTAATGTTTACTCCTCTCATCCCAGAGCACGCCCTCTTGTACCATAATTCAGTCTCTGCTCCATTTCATTACCTGATACTGAACTGTTCATGAAAAACAACTGTGTGGGAACACTTGCTTGCATTTAAAAAGCATGAAAATATGTCTTTTCAAGCTAAAGCTCACTGGAAGTGTGTACTGAGCCATTTAGACTCACCTGTAAATCCACATGTCTGAAAGGTGAGAAACTATCTTCTAGAGGTCAGAGCGGCCAGAGGGCCGCAGGAGCGGGTGCCCCCCATCCCCACCTCCCCGTCCCTCCGTGGAGGTGGGCACAGGGTGCCTGGCCTTACCTGTAGTCCATCCTGGTACTGAACTGCAGTCTGCATGGCCTCCTCGAGTTTGTCGATCCGGTCCCTCCAAGCTTTGTTTAGAGAGTCCCATGCTGAATTTAGCTACAATACAAATGTTATGTCTGTCTCAATATCAACATTTAAACTCATGACTACTTTTAACAAAGGCATTGAGTTTGGATTTCCAGGGAAACTTTCTGAGGGGTGAAAATGAGGGCCGCACCTCATCTATACTCTTCTTCACGATGGGTTTATCGGGCTCCCCGCACGCAGCAATGAGCTCAGAGCCCAGGCTAATGACCACAGCCAGTTCCTCCTGCAGCCCATCCACTTCCTCTCTGATGGCCTGGAGCAAAGCAAGAAGACAGCCTCAGAAGACCAAGTCAACACTGGTTAATGCTAGGAGATTACAGCCATCCTAACCTCCTTGTTTCCTAACTTCCTGCTTTCCTTCAGTTTCTAACTTGTGCTTGGAATTCCTTGGTTGAATATATAATCAATCAACAAACATACTTAAGTATAGCACTGTACAGAGAGAAAACAGGCCTGGCTCTCATGTCAATGAATTCAACCAATAGCAGTCACGAGGAGAGTGTAATGGGATTCAATATCATGAGGAAAGATTTACAGAGGAATCTGGAAGCTGGAGCAGCATCTGCACCCAGAGTGTGTACGTGAGTAGGAGATATATTGGGCAAAGGCACAGACACAGGAAGAACATTTCAGCTGGGGGTACCACGTTCTAACTCAGGGAAGACAGGACACTTGGTAAAAGAGCAGCAGGATAGGCCTGGGCCTGGGCTGGGCTGGGTGGGCTGGGCTGGGCTGGGCTAGGCTGGGCTGGGCTGGGTGAGCTGGACGGGGCAGTCAGGGCTGGGCTGGGCTAGGCAGGGCTGGGCTGGGCAGTCAGGACAGGGCTGGGCTGGGCTGAGCAGTCAGGGCTGGACTAGGCTGGGCTGGGCTGGGCTAGGCCAGGCTGAGTTGGGAAGGACTGGGCGGGGCTGGGCAGTCAGGGCTGGACTGGGCTGGGCTGGGCTCGGCTGGACTAGGCTAGGCCAGGCTGATTTGTGAAGGGCTGGGCCGGGCTGGGCAGTCAGGGCTGGACTGGGAAGCCCGGGCTCCCTCCAGCAGGCACAGGGCCTCTGAGGGATTGAAAGGAGTGCCATGTAAGAGCAGGTCTAGAGAGACAATGTGCAGCAAGGTTCAAGGCCAAGTAGAGAGACCTCACTTTGGACTAAGCTGGAAGCCAAGAGCAGAGATATGGGGCCCTGAAATAAGGCAGAAACAGGGGGACAGGGTCGAGTTGCTTGACATTTGACTTTGTGGCCTCCAGTGAAGCGTGTGGGGCAGCCTCCCCTCCACTAACCACTATTCCCTCCACGGCCCAACCAAGCAGATACATTGTGGTTCTGGGGTTTGGACTCTAGTCCTTGTGCTTGCCAGGCAAGTGTTCTACCATTGAGCCTTACCTCCAGCCCTAAAATACAAACTTTAACAGAGTAAATCCTAATAGTTGCCAAAAGAACTCTTGTTCATCACGTTCTGCTTACCTCTGCGGCTTCCTGCTGCTGCTTCACAATGGAGGGGTCAATGCCGGGGGTCTCCAGGTCACGGATAAAGTCTTGAGTGTCTTTAGTGGTAACGACCAGAGACAGGTGATCGCACCAAAACTTCTCTGCCAGCTCCATCACGTCCAGCAGTCTGGCCTCCCGTTCTTCCACCAGCGCGTGGATGTTCTCCCAGACAGAAACCATGCGGTCAAGTTTAGCCTGCACAGCTATGGCGGCCCAACAAGAGCATCAGTTACCCCCATGAGGTGGTTAAGCAAATCCTTAGGCTCACACAGAGGGCAGTCATTTCCTGCTAACTCTAGAAATAGACCTGGCTGGCGGTGGTTTAGTGAGGACCACAGGCCCAGGGGCCAGCCTTCAACAACACACCTCTGTTCTCCCCTGGCTGAGCAAGGCTCCTCCTGACCCTGGCGTGCATAAAGGTCAGTGAGCTGAGAGTGGACCTGGGTTGCCCGATTTTAAGTTCAATAATCCGGGCCTCAATCCCAGCTAGTTAGTGAATTTTCTTACGCGTTCAGCTCAGGAGTGCTACTGTCAGTTCAGCCGCAGGAATGTGGCAATGATGTGTGTTTGTTGGCTTCCTTCTGAAGTCCTCAAGGATTTCTACTGTGTCTCTGCTCTCCCTTAGCACTGATGGTGCTGTCTGGACTGGCTATGGTTGGCTAAGTCACAGCTTGTGATAAGAATCAGCAATGAAAAAGAATGCAAATCTAGGAGCTTTGACGTTACCCCCGTCATGCTTTAACCTATTGGTTTAAAGGCCCAGAGAACATTCAACCAACCTGTATTCAACTAGATAATTCCCTGGATTACTTTCACAAACACAGGAATGATGTTCACCAGGGTTGTACTCTAAGCACACCCATTAGTGACACAGTCTCAAAGGTTTGGCTTTTTGCATGCACCTGGCCTGTCCACGTCTGTCTCCCTGCTCCCCAGTGATTACCTTTGGCAGAGACATCCTTGTCGGGGCCTCCAGACCTGGCAATCATGTCCTCACCCCTCTGCCTGAGCGTCTCATACAAGGGCTGCAGCTTTTCCATGTCCATGGACACATTCTTGTTGTCACTGATCTGCTCCTTGACCTTCTCAACCTCCGCAGAGATGGACGGTGGCTGCCGGAGTCGCTCTGCTGTGCGCGTCAGGCTCTCCAGGATTTGGTCGATCTTGTCATGGAACTGGAGGGAAACAATGGGATCCTTTATGGGCAAGGTCTGTGATGTCAATGTGAGTTTCCTGTGAGAGACCCTGTTCTGACTGACACAAGGAGAGCTGAAGCTTAGACCCTTCCTTTCCGAACAGAGGCGTCCAAAAAGCTGGATCCAGCTGCTCACCAAGACAGGCATGACGTGTGCGAAGGCCCTCTGCAGCACACTCATGGGGAACACACTGGGATCCTGGTGAGTACCTGACAGGTGAAAACCTGGGTGCCCGTGGCTCACACCTGCAATCCTAGCTAGTCAGGAGGCCGAGATTTGAGGATTTAGCAAAAGCCCTCAGAGACAGCCAGGCTCTGAGTTCAAGCCCAAGAAAGAAAGAGAGGAAGGAAGAAAGGAGAGAAACACAGAAAGAGACCAAAAGAAAAAGAGAGAGAGAGGAAGGAAGGAGAAATAACTACAGATCAGCATCTGCCTTAAGATTCTGCTGTATTTTATCTTAATTTTAAAATTTGTTTAATAACCTGAGTATTTTATCTATAAAACTGTTTTTTTCATCTTCAGTCACAATTTTGATACTCTCAAGGTTACATTATAAAGCTCATGGACAGTTTTGATCACATCTAAGGGATGCCTTAGGTTTTGTTTTCCTGAATTGAAAAGTATAAAAAAGTATCTTAAAAAGACCCACAAAATGAAATCAAACAAAAACTTCCCTGATGCTGAATTAGAAGTCTGTATTTAATTCACTCCCAACACACTATATGCAGATACAAATTAGGCAGTTATAAAAATCTGCTCACTCAAAAGTTCTATACTACCCTCATAGTTAAGGAAATCACAGCTCAGGATTACAGATTCACAGGAATGTTTTGCTGGTGTTTGTTCTTGGATTTTTGGTGGTACTGGGGTTAAACTTCAGAGCCTCATGCTTATTAGGAAGGTACTCTACCACTTCAGCCACGCCTTCAGCCCTGTTTTTTGCTGCTTATCTTGCAAATCAAGTATAGTAAGCTTTTCTGGCTGTGTTGAAACATGATCCTCCAAATCTCAGCCTCCTGTGTAGCTAGGTTTATTGGTGGGGCCACTAGTGCCCAGCTTATTAACACTTTACTGACAATCACAGCAATACCTCCTTCTGTCTCTCCTAATGACCAATAGTATATTCCACTCACAATGGACACTGGACTAAACATCTAGATAGTGATAGCAAGGGCATGTGTCATAGGCACTGAAAATCATTTTTATTTTATCTTCAGCAGGGAGAAAAATGTACAAGCAGGATAAGCAAACATGATCACCTCTGAGAAAAAAGAGTTTAATGAAGAGAAATATTGTGGATCAATTTAATCAGGAGATCCAGGACAGCATCTCTGCCTGCTTCCTGTTTGGGAGAGCCCATTCTACTTCTCGCATCAATAGTAACCTAGGCTGCTGTGGGAAGAGTCTGGTCTAGCATCAATAGTAACCTAGGCTGCTGTGGGAAGAGTCTGGTCTAGCTTTATCAATAGTAACCTAGGCTGCTGTGGGAAGAGTCTGGTCTAGCTTTATCAATTACCTGGGCTCCTGTGGGAAAAGCCCTGTTCTACTTCTAGTGTCATTGGTCACCTGGGCTCCTGTGGGAAGAGCCTGTTCTGCTTCTGGCATCATCGGTTACCTGGGTCGACTGGGAGACCGCTTCATCCAGGGCCACAGCTCGCTTTTTGACGTCTTCTTTAATTTGACTGTAAAGGGCATCAGCGGCCACGTACTTCTCTTGGATAGAGAAGCCCTCCTCAGGGCTCAGCTCCAGCAGCTGGGGCCCCGTCTTGTTCATCTTATCGATGTGGGGCTTGTGCTCCGCTATCAGCTCTCGCAGTTGCTGTAACAAACGAAAGGGGTTTCTCAGCATCTCGGGGTCTCACCCGCATATCTCAGCATCTCGGGGCTCACCCGCACATCTCAGCATCTCGGGGTCTCACCCGTACATCTCAGCTTCCACACCGGCACCCCAGGGCCTCCAGCTGGCAGCAGGCTCTCAGCAAGCATCCTTCCCCTGCCTGGCTTTCCTTCACACATGATGGTGTATACAAACTCAACAGCATGTACAACGTATGATTGTGTGTGCAACACATGACATGTACCACACATGACAGCAATGCAACTCATGAAGGTGGCACGTACTGGTGTGTACAATGCGTGACTGTGTATGACTACACGCGACAGCACGTATGCCACAAGATGGTATGTACAACCATGACTGTGCATACCACATGGTGACATGTGTCCCCGTGATGGCCTGTACAGTTCAGTGCCAGGAAGGAGAGGCTGACACGCAGCTTTATCAATTACCTGACACAGTCAGGTAACTGTCAGCACAGTCATGCCTGAGCCCCTGCAAGGGGACAGCTCACAGTGCACCTTGTGCAGTGCACTTGAATAGAGCATTCACCAAGAGTCCTTTCACATGGAAAGATTCCCTAGAGAGACGAAGGCCTAACCCCAAGGGTTCCTTTTGACATTCATGACATGTATAAAACAAGGAAAGGAAGGGGAGGAAGGAGAGCTGAAAGAAACTCAGTAAACTACAAATACTGGAGGAAGAAAGACCTCAAGATCAAAGGATCTGAGAGTGATCTCCTCATCCACAGACACGTGAAGCTATACAAATGGTGCATGCTCATATTCCACTGTGCTGTAGATGCAGTAAGAATCCAGTCTGCACTGGGGACACACGCACATCAGCAATCTACCTCTAGTCATTATTCTAAAACGTTGGCGTTGCAAGGGCAACTCAAATACACAGCTATTCGTTGAGCACTACTTGTAAAACGTGCAGGCACCAAAGGATTATGTTACTTAATTTTGTCCTCTAGCCAGGGCAAACAGTGACAGCTTTTCATGGCTCAAGGCCAAAGCCATCCCTTGGGAAGCTTTGCCTGGACGTTCGGGAACAGCCTCTAGGCTCAAGTACAAAAAGCCTTCCTTTTGTCCCAAGTCATGGACTGGGTTTCTTGCAGCATTTCCTGTCTCCATACTACTGACCAGCCCACCTCCAATCACAACTTCTCTCATTCATCGAGAAGAATCCCCAGGATGGAAGCAGAACTGGCTTTTTATTCAGGGTGCATTAAAACCAGTCATAAGGGCAGTGGAGACACGGCGTGAGTCCACACAGAACGCTGCAAACAAAGGCACTGGAGACATCTTATGCATCCCCACTAGGCATTCTTGAAAGCACACTTGGCTCTGAGTGATCAAACTTCTGAGTGACACAGGAGAGATCTCACTGTGCCTCTCTGCTGTGGACTCATTAGCCAGGGGTGTGGGTGAGACCCTCCTGTGACAGGCCAGGGAAACCACTGGTGTCTACTCGGGGGTGTGCACGTGTGAGTGCAGGGCCTGGGAGAGAGGCCTGGTTCACATGTGAGACCGGCCATGACTTTGAAGAATCCTAGTATCTGTCACCAGGCCTTAAACTGTGTTCATTCCCACCTACAGCATCTCAACAAACTGAAAGAAAAGACATGAAGCTGGAAAGAGACCCTGAGAGAGGGGCATATATCCAAAAGCTGAGGCCCAGGAGTGGAAAAACTTGCCTGCAAGGCCTATGTACTAGTGCAATCCCGACTTGCTCTGCAGGTTTAACTACTATGCGAAAGAGGAACCAATTCCATTTGGAAAACGAGAGCTCAGTAACCAACTTTCTACTTGATGCTATGCTAAATACACCTATTGATATCACCCACCTGAACAGAAAATCTATGCAAATTTTACATTAAAAATAATTTAATGAGGAGATATCAAGACTTCTGCAAGATAAACACTGATACTAAATTAAATTCAGTTCTACATGGTTTCTCTTCCTCTTGAGTAATTTATACAGTACCCTTGTAAACTCATTTTTTCCTTAAAGTGTTCTCTAGTGTGTCTTTAAAGAAATAGTTAAAGATATTCTTCAATGCCAATATACTAAGAAAGTAAACAAAGTAAGTACAGCATATGTTCCCAAGAATGATGTAATGTACTGACAATGTTCTGTCTGCTCACCCTGCCTTCCCTCCTCATACACACACATTTATACATATGCACACATGGATCACACTCACACATACACACATGTGCACTGCTTACTCTCCAAGTGCACCTCATACCGATCAGGGAGAACGGTTCTAGGTTCACACATCCATAAACAGAAAGAACTCCGGAAGGCTTTCTTTTCCTGACAGTCTTCAGCTCTTTCTTGCACATGTCCTTACAACACTGCACATGACAGTAACAATGAAGTGACGGCCAGATGAGGGCTTCACAGTACAGTTTAAGACTTTGGAAAAATACTCCCTACACTTACAGGAGCAAGAGACCCACGGGCACAGAGGCAGGCCACACGCATCGCCCAGCGCCGTGGGCACTCCGCCCGGCTCCCCGAGGTGGCTATTTTGAGTTATTCCCAAACCTGCACTTTCTCCAAGCTGATGACTCGTCCACTCATTTCTACTTTTTTTGCTGTATTCTATACGGCTCTGACGACTACATGTAATATATGAGTTAGCCTACAGGAATAAGCTGGAAGCTCTTCCCAAGCTCATTCACCTGGCATTTACAACTGGGACTCTTCTTCCTGCAAGATGGTTTATATAGCCTGTTATTCTATAAAAGCTGTAATGCAATTATGGCCATACATAAGGATGTGATAGTCTTCTTCCTGCAGTCCTGGGTCATGCACGCTAGGAAGGTGGGTGGTCCAGTGAGGTCAGACATGGTCTCACCAAAGTGTCCCAGATTGAGAGCTGCACCTAGGCTGCTGCACCTAACCCCAGCTCACCCGGTGCTCCTCCTGCTGCTGCCTCAGCGTTTCATACTCGAGAGCAGGGGCCGGAAGCCGAGAGATCACTCTTTGGGTTTCTGTCAGCCACGGCCAGAGTTCTTCGTATGTCTCCCAGAACTGGCTCACCAGCGACTGTGCCCGTTCGAGCTGCAGATACCGCTCTGAGTTTATCTGGCAGATGGCATCATAGTTTTTCAGTATCTTGTCCAGTTTTTTCTGGAAAATCAGATAAAGAAATGTGTTGTGACATTGGCTGGCACACCTCTCGGGTGCTGAGACCGGTACTGCATAGGTCATAGGTGGAACACAGGAGGCCCTCAACAAATGCATGTGAAACAAAAAACTACCCAGTCTAGCGGGTATAAGTGCAAAAGTTCATTTCACGAGGACCTCAGTTTTTATGCATGGAACACCAAGCTTGCCCAACATAGTAAGCATGATTCTCTAGCTGTTAAGGCTAGAAAACAAGCTCCATTTGGTTTCTACCAACATATACATTATTTCCTGGGGGAAAATAAAGACTACCTTTTGCAAATGAAATTGTAATAATTGCTAGCCAACTAAACCAGTAAAAACGATTAGAACCAAAGCAGGGCACTGCAGCACATCCTTTTGAGAGGACAGTCATGGTGATGTGTTATAAATTCACAGTAAACTAACAGCACAAGAGGAACCCAACAGTAACCCACACTTAGAGAATGACACAGAAATTATTTCATAACAATCTGCATTTTTCATGTCTGTATCTCCACCAGAATTAAGAAAATTGCATTACAGAAGCAGATTTTTTGCAGAGTATAAAAATCAGGCACAGGTAAATAGGGATACAGGTGGACCCATTGCAACAATGAGATGTACAAGTCGTTATGTCAAAAATGAACTTTACAACTTTGGTGTGTGGGGGGAGGATTAGGTGGGGGGGAGAATGGGGGGCGGGGGGAGGATGGAAAGGGGAAACAAAGGAGGAGGCTACAATGCTTGGTAAGAAATGTACTCATTATCTTGCCCATGTAATTATAACCCCTCTGTATAGTATTTTCACACACAAAAAAAAAACTATCCAAAAAAAATCAGGCACAGGTACTTGCACGTACCTTGTTTTCTGCCATCCACATACATTCCTGTGATCGCCTCAGCACGGCCCGCAGGGCCATGAAAGCTATAGCCTCCGGCACTTCCTCATCTCTCAGCTCACCCCTTTTCCTCTAGGGAAAAGTTGAGAGAACTGCCCATTTCAGGCTTTGTTTTAGCTCAAGGTGTGAACATTCTAGAAGCACAGACACCATGGCCAATGTCTATAGTAACAGTAGTTCATATGGATAATAAGGGGAATGACAGAGCTAACATTTAACTGGGTGCTCGACACGTACTAGGCAGCCTAGAACTCACATCTGTGAGCTTCTCTGCCTGTTAAAAAGACAGCCCTCCTGGCGCTGCTCTGATGCAACGTTCCTTCCACCAGTGGGCTTTGTAAGCTAATGAGTTTGCTGCTTGAACCACAAGCTATGGGTAAGGGAAAGAGGACCTGAAGATTTAACTCAGCCCATGTTCACTCAGAACCTCTCCAGCAGGCACACAGACAAGATGATACCTTCATTGATTGCTTTTCCTCTTCAGTGCATGTGGTCATGATTTGGTGCCCAGATTTTACAAGCTCATCAATAATATCTTTGTGTCTCAAAATCTCCATGGTGAAGGTCTGTAGTTTATCAAATACAGGTGAATATAGAAAAAAATGAAGACAATTAGGCAATAGTTGAAGACACCATCTGGCTCATGTGAGGGGCCTAGACAAGCCAAGGATCTGATCTGGGGTTTCATCACCTTCTGGGCCTGCAGCTGGGCCGAGGTCTGGTCTTGCTCCAGCCTGATGTCGCCCAGGGACACCAGTCTCTTCTGTGTGTTGCTGATCCAGGACAGCTCAGCGTCAGCCGCCTGGTCAAACTAAACAAAGGATAAATCATGAGGTCAACAAGGTCCTGCAACCATTGCCAAGAAGTACCTAGTGACATTTCTATTAAATATCCTTATTATATGAGTGGAAATTCTGAGCGTGGCTTTTCATGACATACTAATGTGTGAGAGGGGCTGGGGCTGAAAAATAAAGACAGGAGTCATAAAACATAGGCGCTTCTGATGCCCAGCATCTGTAGCGCCCTGCTACCAATTCAGAACGACTCGTGCTGCCGTCTTTGTTGCCATCAGTCAGAGGAGGAATGCACGTTGCCGCCTGCAATGCTATCTATAGTCATTTGACCTGTCACCCTACTCACATGGTACAAGGGTAGCGTTCTGCTCTCCATTCATGCTCTACAGCAAAGCCCGGAATGATCCTAGGTACTTACCATGCTGTGTGTCTGGAGGCCGACATATGTTTCTGTGTATAGAGCACACCCCTCAGCAGATCACAGATCAATTGCATTTGTTTCTGTTTGTGCACTAGGGCTTGAACTCCAGGACTGGCCACTATCCCTTAGCTTGTGCTGCTCAAGGCTGGTGTTCTACCATTTGAACCATAGCTCTACTTCTGGCTTTTTACTGGTTAACTGAAGAAGAGTCAATTTTTTCTGCCTGTGCTGACTTCGTACCAGGATCCTCAGATCCCAGCCTCCTAGTAGCTACAATGACAGGTATGAACTATATACCTGCTCACGTACATGATTTTTTCTCTGTTACCCAGCTACTTTTTTTTTTAATCTCTCTAGGGCTGGGAAGTGGCTCAGTGGGAGAGTGCTTGCCTTGCATGCATGAGGCCCTCAGTTTGATTCCTCAGCACCACATAAGCAGAAAAAGCAAGAAGTGGTGGTATGGCTCAAGTGGTAGAGCACTAGCCTTGAGCTGAAGAGCTGAGGGACAGCGCCCAGGCCCAGAGTTCAGACTCCACGACCAACAAAAAATAAATATACAAAATAAATAAAATTTAATCTTCTTAATAATCATACATTAGTGGCGTAAGGAGGATTTCACAGTTATCATCCCACAGATGCATACAGCGAACTTTGGCACGCTCACTGCTCCATGTTCCCATGACCTCTTCTGTCTCCCGCACCCCACCCCTTTCCAGACGGTGTGCTGGGGTTCATTATGCTGTGTGCACGTATGCAACATGTGCACATATACATATATACACACACACACACACATACGTATACATGTATTTCAATCTTCTTTACTTCTCAGTATCCTTTCTACCTTCCTTGTCCCATGTTTAATTTTTAAACATCTCATTAAGTAATGCAAACATTTTAAGAACTTTTTTTTTGCAGTTTGAACTCAGGACTTGCTGTGCAAAAACTCAGTAGTCTGAAATATATGAAGAGATTTTGTTTTCCTGACCACAGCAGTAATTTATGCATACAGCAGAAATTCTTAAAGCACAGAAAAACCTACAGAAAAAAATTAAAATTTGTAGTTAATCCCAATACTATCATATTTCAGCATTTCTTCTAGAAACTAAGAAACATGGACTTATTTAAGTCTGGCATAATTCTGTATAAACAGTTCATAACCTGCTTTTCCACATAATATTCTTTTTGTGTGTGTGCCAGTCCTGGGGCTTGAACTCAGGGCCTGGGGTGCTGTCCTTGAGCTTCTTTGCTTGAGGCTACTGTTCTACTACTTGATCCACAGCTCTACTTCTAATTTTTGTAGGGCTTTTGGTAGCTTATTAGAGATAAGAGTCTGCCACCTGCCTTCGAACCACGATCCTCAGATCTCAGCTTCTTGAGTAGTAAGGATTACAGGCGTGAGCCACCAGTGCCAGGTCCACATTGTATTATTTTAAATGTGTATTTTAGCATTCCTGCATTTTCTTACTATTAGATACACAGCTCTGAAAGAAGAGCTCCTTGCAAGGGGATCCATTCCTTGGCATGCGTTTCCAGGAGTCAGGAGTATCGCTTGCAAGCCCAAGGCCATTCCTGGTGACAGGCATCAAAAAGGAATGGTGTGGACAGTGATATGGACAGTAACCCAGCAGGACCCCTGCTGGAAGAAGGCCTCTGGAGGTAGTCACTGACGGACATCAGTCCAGATGGGAGTAGGGGAAATTACTGGGTCAGGGAAGAGAAAGGTGGAGATAGGAAGCAAGATTAGAAAAGAACCCCAGTTTTAGAGCTGGGCATGGTCATATACTCCTGTAATACCAGCTACTCTGGAGGCAGAGGCAGGATTACAGTCTGCAGGAAGCCTGTGCCAAGTTAGCGCAAAACCCTATCTAGAAAAAACACAAAAAAGGCAAGAGGGCTGGGGGCAGAGGTCAAGTGGTAGAGCACCTGCCTGGCAAGCTGAAGCCCTGAGGTCAAACACCATTACCACAAAGGGACAAAACAAAAATGAACACAGGCTGTGGGCAGGTGGAGTGAACGAGCCTTTCTCAGCTCCTGGTGCTAAGTTCATCTCAAGCCCTTGGGAACAGGGGCCAAACAGAGAGAAGAGGGCAGAGTGCTGTGGGCAGTGCCCCGGGAGGGCATGTAGTGGCTTTGCTCCATACTTCACTGGTCCAGGACCAGATGGGGGAGAAACTGGCAATGCACCAGCTCCAGAAGACACAGATGGAGCCCGGCCAAGCTGAGCAGGAAAGAGATGAACTTACCACAGACCTCTCTCCTGGTAAAGATGAGTTACTCTCAGAAATTTTCTACAGTTGGTACAAGATGTTAGCGATTCCTGAGAAACACTCATCACTGGTAGCTAGCTGTCTGCTGAACACATTGCTCTAAGAGCTTCGCACACAGAATCTTCTTTAACTCAGACCACAGTTGCACACACTGGATATTTCCACAAACACATTTACAGCCAGGGAAGCAGGGAAGTTAACCCAGCCAGGATATTCAGCCTCGGGAACTACCCTCTCCTCTCTTATCTTCCTGAGTATGCTAAGGAAATCAAGATACTGATTTCACCAAAAACGGCTCACGTACTAAAAAGATCAGTAAGTAATACTTACAATGTATATTGCAGTGCTGCAGATTGAACCCAGAACTTCTGGCATGCTGGGAAAGTTGTGACTCAATAGTCTGTGATATATTGCTTTTAAAACATATCCTTTAAGCTAAACAGGGGTCCTAAGAAAGACCATGTGGTGACTGCATTGAAGGCCATCCCCTCTCCTTCCTCCCCTGGCGGGGGGGGGGGGGAGGGGGCACTTATCACTTTTCTTTGATTGGCATTTCCTTCCACTCAGTGACTCCTTACTCTTAACACAGCCTGGAGGGTCCCAATCAATCTCACTTCTACAGGCCTGACTGCTAGAGGCCCAGTGAGCTGTTGGATCTAATGGGACTCCAATGGGCTGGAGAGCAGGGTTTCTATGAGTCCTCTGACATAAACAAGCACTCAGAACTGACCCCACGACTAGCAGTCCAGCAAACTGCACTACTGATAAACACATCTGTATATGCACAAGAGACAAAGGAGAATGAAAACTAAGGTTTAAGAAGCTCAGTGGTGTGAACTGGGCACACCAGTCTGTAACTCTTTTAAGCAAAAGTGCCTCTACCCATTTCTACAGGGTTCATTTGACTCCATTTTCAATGAGAGAAAGAAAGCCACAAAGATATGTTACTTTGTGCAGGTTCAAGCAGGGACATGTGCAATGTCTGGCTCAGATAAATGGAATACGCTGTGGGGGATCTGTGGCGTGTATTGCCAGAGGATACATGGTATGTATGCGGTATATACTGCACGAGGACATGTGCTGTGCCCTGTGGGAGGACATCGGATAAATACACAGTGTACATGGTGGAAAGGTAAGTGGTACATGTGTGGGAGGACATGTGGTATACACGCGGTATATTCCGAGGGAGGAAACGTGGTTTATGCCCTGAGAGGATACAGGGTGCACACATGGGGTACACAGTGCAGGAGGATATGAGGTATACTTGTATATACTTGGTATACACATGTTATATACCGTGGGAGGACACATGGTATACACATGTGGTATACATGTGGCATATACCACAGGAGGCTATGTGGTATACATGGGATCTATACCGTGGTAGGATACATGTGATCCCAGTGAATGAGAAACTTCATTCAAGTTTACATAGGGCTCTTGCTTGTTGGCACAGCACTTTTACTACACCAGTGTAATCCCTCACCTCCAAACCAACTTCCCAGGAGGTCAGAGTTCTGTCCTGCTCTTTAGAGAAGTCTTCAGTGCCAGTTCCAAAATGGTGAAATAAATTTTAGTGGAAAAAATTGCAGTATTTTTAAATACTGGAATAAACACATACACAAACACACTTATTTTCCCATTATAATGAGACATGTGAATTCCTCCAGACTTTGAGAACAGGGTCTGGCCAACACACTCCTCAAGCATGAATGCCTTCCCTTGTAAACATCCCTGAGGCAGAGCTTTGTTATCATGGTATTTCACCAGCTTCTGTAACTCCACTGAGCTACGTGAAGACAGGGGTGGGGCACTGTCTGTAGAAGCACATTAGAACACTGGGTCTGGATGCCCCTATGAGCGTTGGTTTGATTTGTGTTTCATGCTTTTGGGCAGTGTTAATAAAAGCCTAGTTGCATACTTTCCTGAGCCCCTAGCAAGACCACACCACCTTCACCCCAAGCTTACAATCAGATTCTGGTGACTTGATGTAAACAGACACAGATATCTGAATAAAAGTTAATACAAATGTACTACAAATACCCTCCCCAGGTCCACTTGGCTGCTTCGTGCCTCCTGTTGGCTGTGGCTAAGGACCTACAAACGCTGTGAGCCACAGACAGGGCACACATCGTCATCTCTTCCCCTCCAATCATCTTCCAAAAAAACCCACATCAGTAACTAAACTGTTTCCTTTTACCAAAGAATACTCTGTCTTTGCCACAGCTTTATGTAAATGAAGAGTTAACACCAACTTATACACTCATTCAAAATGCTTACTGGCAAAGCTCAGGCTCAGCTGAGGTATAAAAGTAACAACAGCCAAACGCCACTGTGCAGACAAAAGGTGTTTTGTTTGGAGAACAGGGCTGAGAGCAACAGGCAGATGGCTGCTAATGATGTATTCATACGTGGCCCCACCAAATTCTATTCAAACTCCATCTTTCGTTTCTGAAGCACAGAGGAGGGCTGGAAACTCTGCTAACAGACATCTTTGTTCAGGTAAGGGCTGCAGAAACAGCAGAAGAGAATTTACTACCTAGACACAACCCACTTGTCCCTACCTGCTGTGACCGGAGAATGGCGGCGTCGATCTCCTCCACCTTCTGAGTGATGGAGTTGCTCACCAACCGGTAGCGCTCATTGTCCTCGGCTACCATCTTCTCCAGCCCCTCTCTGGCCCTCCAGGGGACCAGCTCCAGCAAGGCGGTGCTCACTTCATTCAGGGAGTCCAGGAAGGCTTTGTTGTTCTTAACTTCCTTCTTCAGCTCCTGAAGACATACAAACTCATGGTAAGAGTCTCACCAGGCAAAGTCCTTTGCTGGGCCCTCGGGTCATGCTTTTGGTGTCTTAGTTACAGATGAATTAAATAAAATTTTGTCTTAGCCACTCAGGAGGCTGAGATCCAGAGAACTGCAGTCCAAACACAGCCCAGGCAGAAAAGTCTGCAGACTCCATCTTTACTGAACCAGCAAAATGCCTGAATGAAGGCATAGCTCAAGTAGTACATATGAGTAAAGAAGCAGAATGAGAGTATAAAGCCCGAGTTCAAGCCCTTGTACCAGCACAAAATAAAAAGCTAAGATAAATAAATATTTATGTATTTTATGGCTGTTTTGCAATAAGGAAACGCCCCCAGAGAAGTGCAAGCAACAATTTATTTGCTGATGTAGTGACAAGATTTTAGCTGTGATGTTTAGTATATTTAAAATTGGGAAAACAAACACCACGCAAGTTCACATGTACCATTCTTGGCTTTCTTGGAACCTCTATGTGCCACCTAACAGACAATGAGAGCGAGGATATCCTGAGCCAGAATTTAGTGACCTTCAAAATCAGGACATACTGGTACAAAGTCAACAAAGCAGTTGACTTGTCATAGGCTTGGTGGGTCTGACCTCCAGCCCTGTGACACCAGGGATGATTGTACACCAAGGACAACACCAAGGACGATGCCATGGATGATCCCATTCTAGGAATGAGAGATGGTTATACTCCAGGGACAATCGTGTACCAGCATGGTCATGTACCAGGGTTGGTCACATTCCAGGGATGATTGTACAACAGAGACAATCATAATCCAGGGACAATCATACACCAGAGATGACTGTACTCCAAGGATGAGCATATGACAGGGATGATATGGACAGAGGCTGGTGTGTCTGAGGATAAGAATGACTCCAAAGGCAGGTCCAGCCCTGTTGTGCTATGGTCAGAAAACCCATTCTGGGCTACACCTCTATCAGACAGAAAAGTTGTATCCCCATTCTACATTAATTACACTTAAATAGTGATCATTGTCCTTTCTCTGGTCTTTATCATTCTGTTCCTAGTGTGATAGTCTACTCTGGCAACCACAACACTCTTGACACAAACTCTAACACATCATTTTCATCTTTGGGTTCCTGAGAATGCAAACTGTTAAGTTTGCTGCCAACTCGCACTGGGTTCCCACCCATCCTCAGCATCCTAGCAGTGCCGGGAGGAAAGACGATTTCACTCCTGTGTGGGTCAGACTAGAAGACAGCCAGCAGATCGCGCGGAGTGTACCAGGCCCACCTTCTGTCTCGCCTGCACCGGGCCCGCGTCTGCTCTCGGGACCTGTGACTCGAAGGAGAGCATTTCCACCTCCACTTGGCCCAGCCAGGTGCTCAGCTCCTCGTGTGTGGTATGCAGCCGCCTGGAGAGCTGCAGGGCTTGCTCCAGAGTCTCAGCCACATCGCTGCTCAGTTTGGTAATGTCTTTGTACCTTGCTTTAATGACTTCCAATTTATCTTGGATGACTAGAACTTCATCACCTAAAAGGCAAAGACAGGTACTTCCTTAGGAAAAGGGGAGAAGGGTGGGGAGGCAGGTTTTTTTCAGTAACACTGTACAGATCTCTAAAGATGATCTGACCCAAGAGAAACTCTCATTAGGTTTTCATCTTTTCTGAGGTTGCTAGAAAATCTAATCAGCTCCAGAACTACAAATGAAAATGTGTCTCTCACTCCAAGGGAAGAGGCTACTGGGCAACGAACGGCCCACCATGCCTCTGGCTTGGAGCTCGGGGTGGTAACAGGCTAAGGCTCAGCTGACCAGCCTCATCGTCTCCCTTGGCTCACAAGGAGCTACCGTGTTGGGCAGAACGTGTAACCTCTCATTACTCACGTCCACTTTTCCAGGGAATTCTTGCCTGCCTCTACGTCCCTTACAGAGTCACAGAAAAGGTGTCCTAGGCTTCACATTTCTAGGTAAGGGTTCTATACTATTTAGCATTCCTCCAACTCTGAACAGAAAGGGTAATCTCACCTAGTGCACGTGCCATCTCCCTAGTACACGTGTCATCTGCTTGTACACGTGTCATCTCCCTAGTACACGTGTCATCTCCCCTAGTACACGTGTCATCTCCCCTAGTACACGTGTCATCTCCCTAGTACACGTGTCATCTTCCCTAGTACACGTGTCATCTGCTTGTACATGTGTCATCTGCTTGTACACGTGTCATCTCCCTAGTACACGTGTCATCTCCC